AAGAATTATCTTAGGTGAAGGGAAGGACAGCACACATTACAGGGGAAGTCAGCACAACTGGACTAAACCAAAGCTAAGAAGTTTCCTGAATGCAAAGAAAACTTTGAGGGACAGAGTAGCAGGGGTATGGGTCTGGGGACCATGCTTTCAGGGGACATCTAGGTCAACTGGCATAACAAAGCTTATTAAGAAAATGTTCTGCATCCTACTTTGGTGAGTGACGTCTGGGGTATTAAAAGCTTGTAAGCGGCCATCTAAGATGCATCAACTGGTCCCAACCACCTGGAGTAAAGGAGAATGAAGACCGCCAAAGACACAAGGAAAGTATTAGCCCAAGAGACAGAAAGGGCCACATAAATCAGAGACTTCATCAGCCTGAGACCAGAAGAACTAGATGGTACCCGGCTACCAACAATGACTGCCCTGACAGGGAACACAACAGAGAGTCCTGGATGATGCTGGGGAAAGGTGGGGTACAGCACTCAAATTCTAGTGAGAAGACCAGACGTAATGGTCTGACTGAGACCAGAGAAACCCTGGAAATCATGGCCCCCGGATTCTCTATCAGCCAAGAACTAAAACAATTTCTGAGACCAACTCTTCAGACAGGGATTGGACTGGACTGTGGGCCATAAAGTGATACTCGTGAGGAGGGTACCTCTTAGCTGAAGTAGACACAAGAGACTGAACGGGCAGCTTGTGTCTGGAGGTGAGATGGGAAGGCAGAGAGGGTTAGGAGCTGGTTGAACGGACATGGGGAATCAGGGTGGAAAGGAGGAGTGTGCTGTCACAGTATGGGGAGAGCAATTAGAGTCACATAACAATGTATGTATAAATTTTTGTATTGGAAAAAATAAAGAAAGAAAAAACTTACTAAAAAGCTACAACAGAAATGGAGAAAGAGTAGACAAATAGACTAGCGGAACATAATAGGTACCGCAGAAAGAGTCTCCCACAAAATGCAGTCCACTGATATTTGATTTAGGAGCAAAAGTGATTCAATGGAGAAGGAATACTGTGTTAAATAAATATTTCTGGAACAATGAGACATCTATATGCAATATACAAAAAAGTAAATCTGGACACAGATCTTTATTATTTCATAAAATCATAAATAAAAATAGACCACATAAGAAACAAAATTTCAAGAAATACATTATAACATCTAGAAGATGAATAAAAAGTTTAGGTGACCTTGGTTTTGGCAATAAATTTTTAATATGTCTTAAAAAAATAAGTTCTGTTGTATGTGTGATACATAGTGTTTTATTATTTAGTTTAATTATAAAGATAGTATATGCTAAGTAGAAAAGAAGAGCCCCAGTGGCACAATGGTTAAGCACTCAGCTGCTAACCGAAAAGGCTGGAAATTTGCACCTACCCTTTGGCTCTGCGAGAGAAAAGACCTGCTTCTGTAAAGATTATAGCCTAGGAAACCTTTGGGGCAGTTCTACTCTGTCACACTGAGTCGCTATTTGTCAGAATTGACTGACTTGATGACACCCAACAACAACAACAAGTAGATTGAGTCCTGCCTCATTAATATAAATTGCCGCCTATCCCACCTCATTAACATAGGAAAATCACATCAGAAGACAAAATGGTGGACAATCACACAATACTGGGAATCATGGACTAGCCAAGCTGATACACATTTTTTTGGGGGACACAATTCAATCAACAACACTGGAGTTGATAATTTACATATCCATCTTATCCAGTAGACTGTATACTTCTCTACGACAGGATCTTTATCACTTAGCTTTGTATTCCTAGCACATAGCATGACACATAGTAGGTGCTCAAATGTTTCGTAAATGAGAAAAATATTCACAGGATGGGCACGCACAAAAATGTTTATGGATAAGGCCAATGACCCATATTAGTTGTTGACTTTATCTGGGATAATTCAGATTTTTTTGACTTTAATATGCTAGCATGCACGCTAGGTTCCACCCTGTCCAATAAGACAAGAAAAGGAAATAAAAGGCACACAGATTACAAAGTAAGAAATAAACTTGTCCCTATTTGTAGATGACATGAGTAACTATGTAGAAATTCCCAAAAATTTTTTTACTAAAATTAATGAGTTGGGCAAAGTCACTGTATATATTAAAAAATCACTTATATTTTAATATATTTGCCATTGAGTTCTTTAAAAAGTATAATTTATAATATCACCAAAATCCATAAAATAACTTGTAGGTATAAATCTAGAAAAATATGTCCAAGATCTGTGTGCTGAAAACTACAAAAGAGTGATGAGAGAAATAAAATATAAATAAATAGAGATAATACACTGTATTCATAGATTGGAAGGCTAAATTGTTAAGTGTCAATTTTCTCCAAACTGATCTCTATCAGTGCAACCCCCACAGTCCCACAATCAAGACCTTAGCAGGCTTTTATGTTACAAAATGTAAGCCAAGCTTCAGACTCGGAAAAATTATTTGGAAAATATATGTGCTTATTTGGTGAATAAGCAAAGAAAAGGAAGCTCAACATCTTTAGTCATTAAGGCAGTACAAATTAAAACCACAATGTGATAGCACTATACACTTAGTAGACTGGGTAAAATTAAAGACTGATCAGCACAAATGTTGACACTAAAATGGAAGAACTGAAACTCTCATACACAGCTGGCAAGAATTTAAAATGATATAACCACTTTGGAAAACAGTTTGGCAGTTTCTTTAAAAGTTAAACTCCAAGAGAAATGAAAACTTACGTAAACACAAAAAAGTATACACAAATGTATATATTGTATTTTTAAGCAAATAAAGCACGCCTTCTAAGTTTGTTTGCCAGCCAAGCCCTCCCTCCCCCCTAGGTATTTTCATAAGTGTGTTATGCTAATTCTTTTACAGCAATATGTAAAAAAAATTTGGCATAGGGGTGCTTACGAAAATACCTTGAGGGCAGAGGGCACAGTTGGCAAACAAATGTACAAGGTACGCATTATTTGCATAAAAATACGGTAAGCAGCTTTATTTATAATAGCCAAAACAAAAAAATAACCCAAATGTCTATCATCAGGTGAATGAATAAACAAATTATGGTACAATGGCAATAAAAAGGAATGAACTGTTGATACACACTATAATATGGATGAATCTCAAAATAATGATAGTGAGTGAAAGAAGCCTAACTCCCTGCCAAAAAAAAGAAAAAAAAGTAAATACTCTAGGATTCCACTTATATAAAATTCTAGAAAATGCTAACTATTCCATAGTGACAGAAAGCACTGACATTCTCTCATATGGTAAAAATAGTTTACCCATTTCCAATGGTTATATGTATTGTGCTTCATTGAACTGACAGAAGAAGAGAATTACAGGATAGATTAGTGGAATGGACAAGGACAAGATTTTTGGAGTAGAAGACTCTAAATGGTAGCAAGAAAAAGATAACAAGTAATAATAGAAATCAGATGGACGACCTTCTATTTGGGTGTTAACTCTGGGTCAGTGTGTTTCCAGACTCCCCACAAAGCCCCACAAATAATGTCGCTATTCTCTCTCAACAGCATTACAGGAATAAGACTTAGTCTTGTGCTTCACGAAGCAAAACCAGTGTTACTTTAGTAATTCAAATCTATCCTCGTAATATATTTTTATTATTGCCATAAAGAGTAAAATTCATTAATTAAAAAAAAACTTCTGTAATTTAATGTAGAAAGCAGCAAGTGCATTATAAATTAAAGAGAATCTGTGAGTTGGATAAGGAGCACTGGTGGCGCAGTGGTTAAAACAATCGACTACTAACAAAGGTTGGCAGTTCAAAACCACCAGCTGCTGCGCAGGAGAAAGAGAAGTCAGCTTCCATAGAAATTTACAGCCTTGAAAACCCTATGGGGTCGCTGTGAGTCAGAATCGAGTCTATAGCAGGGGTTTGGTTTGGTATGGGTTGGCTTGTGTCAGAACTTTCTGTATTTTTTCCTTAAGTCACTTGAAAATGTAAGCATAGCTGTAGAAATAGAATTCTCTGAAAATAAAAGTGTACTGATTTTTTAATCATTTTCCCCTTCTTAAAGTTTTCATTTATCACACTGCTTTTTCTTATAATTTTTATTATAGTGCAAAGGTTATGAAGAGCCTGACCCTCACAACGGCCTCTGTGACTTTATTTACTTATTTATTTATTATTTTGGCCTCTGCCATTTTAAATCAATGACAAGGAGGAATAGAGAGTTCAGCATACCTGAATGATACTTTGGAAGTGACATGGAAAAGAGGTCAATTTACCACAAAATATCTTTTCTTTTTATTTCCACTAAAACTTTGAAAGATAGCTTCAAAATTAAAATACTGTGACAAAGCATTCAATTAATATAGCAAATCACCACTATTCTAGTAAAGCTATTGAAATTAAAAATACGAATTTTAAATTATTTCCCCCCAAAAAAACTTATCACTCAAAATTATTCATTAAAAAAAAAATCATTTACAGAAGCCATTTAGATTTACAGAAAAGTTGCAAAGATCGTACAGAGAACCCCCTGATTTTGAAGATCAATCTACTTGATCATAAAGGGTCTGTTGTCAGGCCACCATCACCCTTCTGGGAACCTAGAGCCAATTTTATCAGGTGGAAAGGTATGATCAAAAGTTTATCCACTCTGATTTCACCAAAGTTCTTTATCTCCTCTCCCAACTACTCAATTCTAAGATGCCAATGCCAGCAGTTCTCCCAACTTTCCTTCTCATGAAAGTAATAATAATGATGATGATGATATTTTCAAGGTTTTGGAAAAATATAATCCACTTATTTATTTCCATTTACAAATACAATTATAGACCTGCATCTAGATGAAGAAACTTCAACTCTTAAAATAGTTTCAAAATGCATTACCTCAAAATTTCCTAGAAGACTAAGACTTGTTACAGGTGGAGCACTAGAACTTAGAAATGGTTTTTCATGAATATCTGGATCATCTTCAATGTTTAAACATGGTTGAGGACTATTAAAAAAAAAAATTAGGAAAAGGACACAATGTTAAACATGGTTTAACCATAATATTATCTTATTTATTTCTGTACGAAATTAAATTAGGAGAATCTGATTCATTTTACTTCTATTATTCATAAAAACAAAACTTCAACATAACCAAATTTTAAGATATAAAATTCCTATTTTAAAACCCCTGACTAGATTTTACAATCTCTATGTTATAATATTTGCTGAAGAAGACATACAACTTCCTGTAAGTTTTTAAGATGAAATTTATACCATATTAAATCCTGGCATTTACTGAAATATATAATGATGCAGAATTCGGTATCCATTTTCAGTTAAAAGTGAGTATGTAACAGTAAAATTACATAACTAAAGAATATAATGAGAGCATTATTTCCCACCATAGAAATAACTGCCCAGGCTCTTTTGGAAAGGGGTATGATACAAAGGTGGAAATGACTAGAAACACACAAACCACCCAAGTACTAAAACCCAGTGTACAGTGCTGGTTTATCATGATGACCAATATAAAACAGCAACTCATCATGTTAATTTCTCTCTGATTCTTAATAATTGTGTGCATGTCACATGACAGCATATTGAAAATGAAAATCAAATGGAAAATAAGATTCCTGTTACAATTTTGATCTTTAGAGTCAACGCTGTCTATTGTGAAAGACCAGATTTTGTGTAATTCTTTCTCATACACAAAAATGAATTTTAAGATAAATACCTTCTAGATGATAAGCTTTTCAGATGCAGTAATGATGAATCCAGATCAAAGCAACCTGACTGTGTTTTTCTTTGAGGAACCTAAAGTCAAAATAATCATTCGAGATATTAAAAGACTAAACTTTTTTTTTTTCACCCGGAGAGGTTTTTATTTCTTTTTCTTTTTTTTTTATGGTTGTAATTTAAATGAAGTTTACATTTCAAGCTAGTCTCCCATACAAAAATTTATACATACATTGTTAT